GATCCCTGCGGCGCCTCTGAAACCAGCAGCCGAGCATCCGGACTCGAGGAGCGGCGGCTCTCCGGCAACTCCAACAAAGAGCCTGCCAGGCAGTATCACTCTCCTAGTCAACACTACGATTTGCCCGTGCATCCGCCAAAAATGGTTTTCAACCTTTACAGGAGGGGAAAAAAAAAAGAGGGAGGGAGCTGAAAGAGCGGCTGGTATCTCTTTTCTTTTTTGTACAAACTCTGCACTTAGATAAACCCCGAAACTGTATCTCATCAGATACACCAAAGCCTCCTGAATGTCAACCAAAGACATGGTATCACTTATTCCTGTATTTATCTCAGCCCTTGGAACCATAATAAATATGAAACATCTGTAGCCTAAATTCTGGATACTGTTTCAGCGCCTTCATTACATTAATCATTCAATTTGGAGGAGATTAAATACTAACGGCAAAGGGGTCTGTGCCATAAAAACACGTTCCTCCTCGAAAGTTGATGGGGATTGAGATTTTAACAATAGACACACTGTTACCCAAATATCGCTCTTATTTACAGAGACATCTTTTTGCACAGAAACAGGCAAGTTTCTACGGAGCGGGGGTCACGCGTGCGCGGGATGCCAAAGCAGCTCGAGAGCACCCGATGGGGCCTTAGACATCCACGCCCCAACCCAAAAAACTGCAACGGGTTTATCACGCCATTAACTCATCGCCACTGGCAGACAAACATCACGTTAGCGAATCCCGCTTTGGTGTCGAGGCGACGGCGCGCTCTTGTTCACAAGCTACGCTCTCGCCGGCCAGCCGGTGCTCAGACAACCTCTCCTACAGCAGGAGCTGCTTCTCCCGAAGCTCCTCCAAACCACCGCCCCAGCCCCGTGTGCGCGGCCGCAGGGCAACGCAGCGCCCGGACGGCTCATTTAGCTCTCCGAAAGCTGTAAAATATAGCTTTCTGAAACCCGTAAATCAAATGCATCGCTGCGCAATTAAAAAAAACAATAAATAAATCATTGTATGCTTTCCACCTGTTAATCTTGCAGCAGTGCATGGAGCCCGGATCTGCCTAGAGATGCCTGTACATAGATCTGTATACAGCTGCCCGTATATATGCCCGTATATATGATTACTTCATATGTAAAACATCATACAGAGAAAGGCAGTGGAACGACGACCGCCATAGGATAGACACAGGGTACAGCGCCCGCTCCGAAAGACAGCCAGGCTACGCTCCACCCCGGGCAGACCAGCCAACACGAGTCCTCTAGACAACGTCTCGACCACGGTGCGAGCAACCGGCAACAAAAATAGTGAGAGGGAGGGAGAGACTGGACTTTGTACGGACGTTTCATGGCATGGGATCAAAAGTCGTGCTGTCACGGCAGCTGCAAAGCGCTCCGCGCATCCCTGCGTACACCAGCACTCCCCGGGGACAGTTGCCACGTCCATCCCCTTCACCCCGAGCCCACCACCTTGGGGCCGGACCCCGCCTCCCCTACGCTGTGCTAGGGGTCCCTCCGGCAGCACCCGCACCCGGGCGGCTCCGGCGCGGCATCCGCCTCAGCGACAGCCAGGGGGGTACCGGCCCGGCGAAGGGGAGTGCGGTTCAGGGGCGCTTTTCCAGCCCCCCTGCACGCTCATCCCACTAGCCCGGAAAACGCAACCTTCATTCCTCCTGTCCCGGGACTAAAACGGCGCCTTTTTCTTTCTTTTGGGTTTTTTTTTTTTGGTCTCTCTTAGAAAAGGAATACATTCTTTCTTTAGATACAGATTTCTGTTTTTTTTTTTTAAATTCCAAACTTCCCCTTCAGAAGGCGCTGGGCAAAATACAGGCAACAAACGATGCCATCACAAGAAGACGACAGAACAACTGGAAGGTTTTACAGAAATCAAAAAAAGGAAAAGGAAAAAAAAAGTATTAAATCCATTACACTAGGAACAGCAAGAGACAGTATCACAGCGGTACGTGCTTTAATAAAGTAAAGAGATGCTGCAACATGCAGTATTTGTCAAACTGACAACATATACAGACCCCTAAGGGGGGGACGGGGGAGACCTGAACTGGAGTCCGGATTTTAGAGACAATGCACATAAAACGTTTCATAAACCTGCGATTCCCACCAAAAAAAAAAAAAAAAAAAAAAAGCCCACGGGAGAAGGGAGGGGAGCTCCCAGCTCCAGCCTCCG